AGCCCTAGACTGATGTCTGAACAGATCCCTGAGATTGAGAAGTATATCTGCTGCAGTGTCCTTAGACTGATGCTGATGTTGAAGAACATTCGACATAGAAGCCAGAATGTAACACTTCGCCATCTCATCAGCCTTCTTCCACCGAGCATACTCCTCTTTCTCCTGCTCAGGAGCATCAGCCGCCAGCACCGCCGGGCAAGCATCAGTGATAGCAAACTTATAACCCTCAGCAGTCAACACTATGTCTAAGTTCCTCTTCCAATCAATGTAATTAGGACCAGTAAGTTGATTTTCTTTTAGAATGACAGACATCGGATTGAACGACATGATGAATATCCTGAGAATCATGCAAATAAATTTTACAGATTAAACACTTTTGAATTTAACTGTTAATATTGATATCCTCAAAACAACATTAACTTAAATCCACCGACATCTATTACACCTTGTGAGAATGCACGCTACGAGGGTCGCCCTACAAATTCGCATTTTGTAAGAGAAGGGCTTTTCTAAGGCCCATTAATTTCCATAAGTCAAAACCAAATTCATGACGAACGAAATTAATAGTCGGTCTCCATTTGGCCATGCAATAGAATTCAGGGACCCCGAGGGGGGTTAATAAATTTAATCGCATTCTAAGTGAATCCCAATTCTCGGTCCTAAGGTCGTCAAATTTGATTATACGTCATCCGAGGGGAAGCCCGTACGCTCTCATAAGATTTCCTCTAACCGTCTAATATTAGAAATTTGTCCTAGTAATTTCCTACAATTAAATTTTAGCAATGTCACCCGAGGGGGAGCCCATTACCGCAGCTTAATTGATTTACCGACAAATTAGAAATGGAGGCCTTAGGAATTTTACAATTAACTTTAATTTAAAATCCCTTCTCAAACTTAGTATAATTTAATGTGGATTTTTAACTATTTATACAATTCCAAATTAATCTATGTTAATGCAATAATTAATTAACATGCATATTAATTCATGCAATTCTAATTAATCTAAATTAATTAGACTAACTGTGGGCCAAACCCACTCCTCTAATTAATTAAATAATATTAATGGGCCACCAACATTATATTATTGCACTCCCTTTCCCTAGCCCAAATTACATTTGAGACTCCAATAATAATTACTCAATTTACCTCCCCACGTTTAAGATATAATGTCCATTAATTAATTCGATTACTGACAATCAAGAATTAATTAATTTATTATTATTTCACCGAAGCTAGCGCTCGTTCATCACATTCTTATTATGCCGGAATTTAATCCACCTGCAGGGTTAGGCATAACAATCCTTCATGAACTCACTCCGGGGACATCATCAAACTAACGCACATGGTGACCGTAAATATCCTAACATCACATCCTATATATAATAATATTACCCAAAACAGTAGGAATATTAATCCAGCGAACTGAACCTCACCCATGTGAATCCAAGTAATATATATTATATATATCTGTCTGTTTAATATCTTACGGGTTAAGAGAACGCAGTAATTAACCGAGGCCTAGTTCATTTACGACGATCAGTATAAAATGAACTTCTCCTCTCTGGGATCTTGTTCAATACATAAATGTACTAGTGCAACTAATCAGTCAAGACAAACTGTACAGTTGACACTACAACCGTGCAGATGGGGTGTTCATGTCCATCTAGGTTGTGAACAACTATTCTTGTTCGCAAGTAACTGATAGAGTGATCTTCGGTTCGCCCGATGAGGACCCACCCTATCTAAGTGCAGAACAACAGAACGTAGAACTTGTTTAATCTAACATGATTCTCATTCATAAAGGGTAAATGTGTAATATCATGCAAAGCCAAGCTTTCAGTATATAACACTAACACAAGTACCATCTTCCTCGCATTGAGGATCTCTTCGACCAGCTGAGGGGAGCCAATGTCTTCTTGAAGATTGATTTGAGGTCTGGCTATCATCAGCTGAAGATCCGGGAGTCGGATATCTCTAAGACCGCGTTCCGTACCCGATATGGCCACTACGAGTTTGTGGTAATGCCATTTGGACTCAGCAATGCCCCGGCCGTGTTCATGGACCTTATGAATAAGGTCTTCCATCCTTATCTGGACCAGTTCTTTATCGTTTTCATCGACGACATTCTGGTCTATTCTCGGGACATCGATCAGCACAAGGAGAATCTGAGGATTGTGCTGGAGACTCTTCGTAGAAGTTGTATGCGAAGTTTTCGAAGTGTGAGTTCTGGCTGGATCGTGTGGCCTTCCTTGGCCACATTGTGACAGCTAGAGGCATTGAGGTGGATCCCAGCAAGATCGAGGCTGTGGGCAAGTGGGAAACACCAAGAAGTGCCAGCGACGTTCGTAGTTTCCTGGGGTTAGCAGGATACTACAGGAGATTCATCGAGGGCTTCTCGAAGATAGCCCGACCCTAACCAACCTTACGAAGAAGGCCGTGAGGTTTCAATGGAGTTCTAAGTGCGAGGATAGTTTCCAGGAGTTGAAGATGAGACTTACCACCGCACCCGTCTTGTCGATTCCCGATCCTACTTTGGAGTTCACCACCTATAGTGACGCTTCAAAGATAGGTTTGGGATGTGTCCTAATGCAGCAAGGGAAGGTTGTAGCTTATGCTTCGAGGCAACTGAAGCCTCACGGGCAGAACTACCCCACTCATGATCTTGAGTTGGCTGCTGTTGTCCACGCCTTGAAGATTTGGCGGCACTACCTCTACGGAGGCAAGTGTGAGATTTTCACTGATCATAAGAGCTTGAAGTATATCTTTACTCAGAAGGAGCTCAATATGCGCCAAAGGAGATGGCTTGAGTCGCCGACGCGTTGTGTCGGAAGAGTAATGGCCAGTTGTCTTGTCTATTCACCGGGCAGGATGTCCATGTTCGGGAGTTCGAGCGACTGCAGCTAGAGGCAGTGGAGTCGACTTCGACAGCCGGAGATGTGTTGACCGCCTTGGTTGTGGGGCCGACTCTTCGTGAGAGAATTATCGCCGAGCAGCCGAATGATCGTTTTCTATGCCGTATGAAGGAGTTGATGGAAGCTGGTTGAGTTGGAGGGTTCGCAGTCGCATCTGATGGGGCATTAGTCTTCGAGGGTAGACTATGTGTTCTGAAGGTGTGGGAACTGCGAAAGGAGATATTGAGAGAAGTCCATAGTGTCCCGTACACCATCCATCCTGGTAGCTCGAAGATGTATCAGGACCTCAGGAAGTCGTTTTGGTGGCGAGGTATGAAGAGGCAGGTGACCCGTTTCGTGAGTGGTTGTCTAGTGTGTCAGCAAGTGAAGGCTGAGCATCAGAAACCCAGAGGCATGTTGCAGCTGCTTGAGATTCCCATGTGGAAATAGGAGCGACTCACGATGGATTTCTTGGTGGGTTTGCCGAGATCAAGATCCGATCATGATTCCATTTGGGTGATTGTGGATCGACTCACGAAGTCCACCCAATTTCTGCCCGTCCGGACAACTGTGAATGCTAGTGCGTATGCCGAGTTGTTCATTGATGAGATCGTCAAACTTCATGGAGTGCCCGTGGAGATTGTGTTTGATCGTGACTCGGAGTTCACGAGCCAGTTCTGGAAGACTCTGCACCGAGCCATGGGGACGAGGTTGGAGTTCAGTACCGCCTTTCACCCTCAGACAGATGGTCAGTCAGAGCGGACGATCCAGTATTTGGAGGATATATTGAGGGCTGTGGTCTTGGACCGGAGCCTGACTTGGGAGACTGCGCTCCCGTTGGTCGAATTGTCTTATAACAACAGCTACCACTCCTCGATCAAGATGGCCCCTTACGAAGCTTTGTATGGACGGAAGGTCCGAACACCTTTGTATTGGGATGAGGTCGGAGAGAGGAAGTTCATGGGTCCGGAGTTCATTCGTAGGACTTCGGAAGCTGTTGAGGCGATCCGGAAGCATATCCGGTCTGCCCAGGAGAGGCAGAAGGTGTATGCCGATCGGAAGCGGCGAGAGCACGAGTAAGCTGTTGGTGATCACGTCTTTCTGAAGGTCTCGCCCATGAAGGGTGTGATTCGCTTCGGGAAGAAGGGGAAGCTTCGGCCTCGCGATATTGAACCCTTCGAGATCCTAGCTCGAGTCGGGAACTTGGCGTATCGGTTAGCTTTACCATCGGACTTGTCAGGGGTGCATGATGTGTTTCATGTCTCCATGCTGCGTAGATATGCACATGACCCCGACCATGTGGTGGACTTCGGCGAGCTGCAGGTCGAGCGAGACCTCACCTATGAGGAGGTGCCGGTTGCCGTACTGGACCAGAAGGTCCATCAGCTGAGGAACCGGGTAGTGAGTTTGGTGAAGGTGCTGTGGAGCCGACACGACGAGTCCGAGGCGACTTGGGAGAAGGAGGACGAGATTAGGAGGAGATATCCGGACTTCGCTTTTTGATCTCCTTTGTACTCTTTCATGTTCTAGTTATCTTTGTCTTGTTTCAAATTCCGAGGACGGAATCCTTTGTTAGGTGGGTAGACTGTAGTGCCCCGTTTATTTGTGGATTATTTGAGAATATTAATATTAATTTTATTATTATTATTATTGTTATTATTATTTTGTGATAATATTTATATTTATTTTTCTTGAATGCCATAATATTATTAATTGCCAAAATGTGACTAAATGCTAAATGTCTAATTGTTTAATTGATTTTCGTGATTTATTAAATTATTAAATGTGAATAATGTGTATTAATATATATATATATATGTTAAATATATATATATATATATATGTAGGGTTGGGTTCCCGCGAGAATGAGCCTTACCGAAAGAAATAAGAATGAATTGCACCCGCAGGATCACAACAATCGTACGGCACAAAAAAACGCGCCCAGATTTACTCATGCCACTAATTGGAGGGTATAATGGTAACTAAACATTAAATTCTGATAGTAAGAAAAAGGTCCCTTACCTCATTCCCGCAGCTGAGATCCAGAAACCCTCACCTCCCTCACCTCAATTTCACACATCAGATTACGTGAGAATCGAGCTCGATATAATAGAATTTTTTGATCAATCTTCGCGAAAATCGAGTTCGGATTTTCGGATTCTTGTGTTTTGCGGTCAATTCATTGGATTTCTGCGACCAATATCCATGAAATTGAGATCAATTTTTACCGTGGTTTCTCGAGCCCTGCGATCGGTCTCTGTGAAATCGAGCTCGATATCTTCCGATATATTTGAGTGTTGCGACCAATTGCCTTGATTTTGATCTCTGATTTTAATATTTATTACCGTCTATGAAGAATTTCAGTTAAGCCAATCTAGATTTTTCTAATTTCTCGGATTTTTTTGAGCTGATATCCTTTCTCCTATACTTTCTTTCTTTTTTTGTCGTTCAATTTTTGTGGGGTTGATACATTATATTGGTTGAGCCGAATCAGCGATGGAACTCAATGAATCACAACCAGGTAGTGATATGAATTTGTTACCTATTACGTTCAGTTGTGTAGACAGGTTTTACTCATTATGGGATAAAGTGCAACATCCAATCATATTGCGTGTAATAGTATGTTCACAAATGTGCAAACAGATTGTTTGACTCGATGGTAATGATTATTATTTCATTTTTTTTCATACTTCTCCTGACTCTTCAAGAAAATCAGGCACCGATTACACATCAGCGTATTTCGATCACCCCCGGAGGAACAAAATATTGGATACTGGATTGCGACAATACAATCAAACCTTATCATGGGCAAAGATTCCGGGAGTTACATGAAGCAGTGAGCTTCTACAAAAATTATGCTCGTACTGTTGGATTCAATGTGAGGAACAACACCTTGGTAAAGGCACATGACAAGACGGTCCTTTGGAAATACGTGGTGTGCCCGCGAGAGGGATATAAGCATCACGCAAAGGTCGGTCCAAAGGTACAGGGTGCAGAACACGTGACGAGACGTAGGGTGTCCAACCGGGTGGGTTGTACTGCCAGGATTGGGTTGAGAGTTGATGGCTTAAATGGCTATATCATTAAGTCTTTTGAGGAGAAACATACCCACCCGATGACGTCTGACATTTGCAAACCACAAATGACGATCAACAGAGAAATTAATGCGGAACATCAGTCGTTTATACTAAACTGTATAAAAGCCAATATATGGCCAATCAAGTCGTACCGTCTGTATAAAGAAATGGTTGGAGGGTATTCGAATATCGGGGCCACCAGTGTTGACTTCAAGAATTTTAAACGGGATCTCCTTGCATACATATCGGGTGCGGATACACAACTGGTTATCGATAAGTTTTATAAGCGTCAGGAAACGAGCCCTGCCTTTCACTTCAGCTACGAGCTTGACTCGAACGACTGCTTGCAACGACTCTTCTGGGTTGATCCGATTTCAAGGAGGAACTATGGTTCTTTTGGTGATGCTGTGTCATTTGATGCGACCTACCGCACTAACAGGTGAGCACACATTTTATGATGATCTTTAACAATTGCATATTGCTCACATTTGCTCTTGTATGTGCTGATCTGAAGCGATTAAACTATAGGTACAACATGGTCTTTGCTCCTTTCACTGGAATAGATAACCACAACCAGTGCGTGACGTTTGCAGCCGCGTTGGTATCAAAAGAAGATGTCGACTCTTATGAATGGGTGTTCAAGAATTTTAAGGATGCCATGATTCACGAGCCTGTATATATCGTCACTGACCAAGATCCATCAATCGGAATTGCATTTCCTAAAGTATTCAAATACTTGCAAACACCGATTCTGTATGTGGCACATAATGACTAAATTGTGCGACAAAGTCGGTCATTCGTTAAATAGTGATGTTGTGTTTAAACGAAGACTTAATGGAATTTTTTGGGATCGGAATATAGAGCCTGACGAATTTGAATCTAAATGGGCAGCCATAATGAAAGAATACATGTTGGATACGCACAATTGGTTTGTTGACCTTTTTGCAAAAAGAGAATATTGGATCCCAGCATTTTTCAGGGATGTCCGTATGAGCGGGTTCATGAGGACTACATCTAGATCGGAAAGCGAGAACCACTGGTTTGGTTATTTCACAAGCAGTCATTCTAGTTTAGTCGAGTTCCTACTTCATTTTGAAAGCGCGATGGACGCCCAACAAAATGCCTCGGTTAAGCTACAAACTGAAGGTGAGTTCCTAATGGCTGAGATGAAGACTCCATTGCCGATCGAGAAGCACGCACGATCTATTTACACGACATCATCTTTCTACAGTGTCCAAGGTGAGATATGCGCAGCATGTTTCAATTGTCGTGTGATGAACTTATCCGAGAGTGGTGGACTGGTAGAATTCACGATCAAAGACACCGATGGTAAGATGTTCATGGTTTTTCATGATGTGGGTCTAACTACGTCTACATATCCGTGCAAGCACTTTGAATTGTACGGATGGTTGTGTAGACACGTGTTTGTCGTGCTAAAAGACTTGAACTTCAAAGTTATTCCGCCGGTGCATATCAGTTCGAGATGGACGAGGCAAGCTATTATTAATCCAATGTTCAACGTTCTGGACAATGTCGCTGAACAATGTACACAGGTTGATGATACAAAGCACCTGTTGAACAAGATATGGTCGGATATACACATTTGTGTGGGATTAGCGGAGCCTCGTGCCGATCACCTTATTGAGTTTTCAAAGATAATCGAAGCGTACAAGAGCAAGCTGATGTGCACAAGAAGGTGATACTGCTCCTCAAGAAGTAAGCATTCACCCTCCGTCACGTTCGAAGAACAAAGACAGTGGCAAAAAGCTAAAGAGCGCGAAGGAAAAGGCGATTGAAGGATCACAAAAGAAACGGCGGACTTGTAAGTCATGCGGTGAAATAGCGGGACACAATACACGCACATGTCCAAAGAAACACCAAGCATGCAACACAAATGACGACGAGGTAAATATACACATATTGTTGAAGTAACTGTCTGTTCAATTATACCAACACGAGTGCACTTATGTGTTATAACACATTATTTTTATTCATTACGTTCGTTGCATGTACGTAAAGATATGCTAGTATAAAGAACGACAGCCTGAGACGTTCATATTAACATACGGTGAAATATATATGCAGGCACAGGTGAAGTGACAGGAGATTGATGGAGGTGTTTCGGATCAAACACTTCATTATGGATGTTTATCCTTGATTTTATTATTATTATTATTATTATTATTATTTATTATTATTTTTTTAATGTCGTCGGTTGATGAACAACAGTGCATGTCAGTTATATTTCCGTAGTTATATATTCATGGGGTGTGTACGGCGTACACAATCACAACGTGTATATTGCACTATATTGAACGCATTCTATATGATTTGGTTGCACAGTAATACAATATGCGTTGCACATTCTATATGACGTAGGCGCACTTTATATTATACTGCAATACGACTCACGTTGCATATTATATAACACATTGGCAAATCAAGCAATAAAATCATATCAATGTAAGTCGTAATAACATACATCACAACAATATAATGCATGATGCACGGTCCATACGTTTCGGTTGCACGATAATACTATGTAGGTTGCACGTACTAAATGATTTAGTCGCACATTATATTGTATCGTAATACAACGCACGTTGCTACTGATATATGATTTAATTGTACATTATATAACACGATGACAATTCAAACCAATAAATGATATCAATGTAAGTAATATCGACGTACAACACGACAATACAATGCACGTTGCACATGCTGTATGATGTGTGCGCACAATAACGCATTGCACATTGCACATTCTATATGTTTCGGGTGCACATAATCGTATAACACATATACCGTAACTAACATGTGCACACAATTCGGTACACACACATAACAAAAAATCTTTATCGGTTAAATGAATAGAAACAAATAACACCTACATAAATACTGCATCAGCATTGATATATATGCAAAAAGACGTGAGTAACCACCAATTTCAGCCCACACAACACAGATACACAAAAGGTCATCGCTAAAAGGTTTCATTAGTCCCCATGATAACGGCCTACGTACTAAGTTAAAACCATCACACATTTGATGCAAAAACCAAATACTATATGGAACGCTTCACCGTCAACAAGTTTCAACAAAAAACAACTATCGACATGATTCAATAACGCGTGCTAATTCAACAGACCATAACTGCCATAACTTCCATAGTTGCTCAAACGATCATGGTGCGGTACCCTGCTTCTTTGCTATGTACAGTGGGTGATATTTCTTTGCTGCTGTGAGGTTGTCATCCTTCAGCTTGTTGTTTGGGGCACAAGCTATGACGTAGCTGTACCGCTTCCTCATAAGAGTCAGTTGCGCCTTATCTCCTTTCTTTATTTGTGGATTCCAACTTTTAGCAAATCCGCCCTTGAACGTCTCCATATGACGCATTGTGATCACCCCAGCGTCCGCCACGTCAATCCCCTCAGTCCAGCCTATGTCAACTACGTCCGGAATGCATAGTGCAATTGCTTCTGAATTCTTCACAATGTGCCGCTCGCATAGATACTTTGAAAATGAGTGTCGCTGTGATAAATGGACACATGATTAGCATAACACATCAAATGAGAAACGTAAGCGAAGGTCGATCATAGGAATTTTATAAAATTACCAAGTGCTCAGCGCGAGACATCAGTGTTTTTTAATCGACACATCTTTTAAAAATCGAGCACTATCCAGTATAGTGAACTTTTGAAAGCATGGCGCCATGCACAATATGCCAGAGAACACCTCAGAGTGTACAGGAAATAAGAACTGCATAAAACGAACAAATAAATAAAACACATCGTGAACATACCAACATTACCAGATCACATATATTTTATATATGAAAATAAAAGCTAAAAAAGAAAAAGAACATATGAAAAAATAGGACACAATGGAAACCATTACAGAATGAGTTAAAGTATTCAATTACCACTGATATTTGCTTCAACTGATAACTGGACAGGCTGGCAATCTCTGAATCAAGTGTTTGAGAAAACTTCTTGTAGCTCGCATCCTTCTTCCGTTTACCATCATAAAACAGCTGCAACCATTGTTTGCACAATATAAATTACATATTGCACTGTTAGTGTTAACCATATTGCACTTTAGTGTTAAGCATATTGCACTGATAAAATAAAGTATCGTACCTCAGTGCAAGAAGATGTCGATGCAAAAAAACATGTTATTGATCCACGACTTTTCACGGTCTCTATATGATTCAAAATAACCGACCACAAATCCAATAGCTCATTCCTAATTGGGGTGTTTGGTAGCAAAGAGGACACAATGGACTTTTTAGCGGAGTACTCTGATGACCTTGACTGGAATATGATAACACCACTGTCGAAAATCATGCATATCGAAACAAAAAATGTTAGAACGAGATGCGAACACACACGTATATCAACATAAGATTATCTAATAGTATGTTATTTCAATAAAAATAAAATAAAATACTAATAAAAACACAAGTGATCATACTCACCTGTCAGTTCGTTATTCATTGCCCAGATAGCGACCACCTTCTCATGCTCGTCAAGTTTCTTAACAACATCAATTGACCTCTGCATAAAAGGCGATTTGGAAAAACTTGAGGCCTTGATACTTCTTTTCGGCCTCGGGGACCCCTGGACATCATCCTCATGAGGTACGTCGTCAATGACTTCTGATAAAAAAAAGGAAAAAAAAAGGATTTATAGTAACATATTGTAAACTACGAATAAAGGCATAATTACAAGTTTACCATTGGTTTCGCACTCTCCGGTTGGCAGTACGGGTTCTTCAACAATTGTCAACTTGTCACGTGACACAGAATCACCAGCTTCACATGTGAGCACATAAAAATTAGGTTTACAAGAAAAAAGTAAATAAATAAATGACGTCGATGAGAAGTATACCAACATATTGTACAAAACTTTACTCACATACCTTTTTGTGCATCTACTACAGGTGACATCACAACTGTATGTTTGCCCATATCACGACCAAGGATCGCATCTGCCACATTCACATGATGACGGGTATCATTAGCAACATCATCATCATCCGATGACAAACCCAAACTATAACTGGGACCCTCCTCTTGCATCCTCTTGAAACGAGCTCGTTCTTTGTCCCGTCGTTTGGCTGCCCTAACGATTTCATCGATCGCCGCTAATGTTTCAGGTGAATTCCAGAACGCGTCGTCAGCTGTCTGGTATGCGGCACCCTTGTCATTACCATCTATTCCATCGCTATTCTTCGATTCTGTGCAGCGTTGTTGACTCGGTCCGTGATGGGCATTGTGACCTTTAGGAACTTCGCTATACACACCGAGAAGTCTCTGAGCTACATCTCGCATTTTCAAGAAGTTATCATCTTCAAGCAAAACCTGCGGCTCCCTTTCAACTAGTTGTAGTATTTCGGCCCCAGTTGTGGCAAGCAGTAGAGTTTTAGATGCAAACTCTTGAACATAAGTCTGTAGAATGACAATGTCAAGTATAGAAAAAATCAAACGAATTTAACGCGCGTATATATACTTCATACACTTATAAAAACAGGTATTAATGCACGATTATACAAACTGCAATACACAACTATACATAGATTATTGCACGTGTATATATAATGGTATTGCACATCTGTGCACCGGATAATGCACGCACCACTACATACATAACGGAATAACAAGACAACAGTAATAAAACACTACAATAATGAAAAGATAAAAAATAATAACAATAATAATAATAATAACAATAATAATAATAATAATAATAATAATAATAATAATAATAATAATTATAATAATAATAATAATAATAATAATAATAATAATAATAAATAAAAAACACACTTTGTGCGGATAACAACAAATAACCCATGCTTCCATATCATATTTGTGAATGCACATTAATGACAGACACAATGAACGCACTCACATATCATGATGCACATCATACACTGTTCAGATGTGTTGTAAACCAACAGTTAATAACGACCACATTGAAGCTTAATGTACTCGTAACAAAATATAAACGTCTCGCAATAAAAGTTATAATTCGGATAACCTGTACGCTTTTAACTTCGTCGCGTCTGACACCATCATCATCGGCTTTGAGACCAACTTTATTTGGTTGTCGGCTATCAGCGATCAGGCATAAGTCTGGGTCAACGAAACCTCTACCAAACGATCCAGCGTCAATCTCATCGAGTTCTCTGGCTCGCAATGTATCGTTACTCCATGATCTAAATGTTGGGAACATTCGTGTAACAGAGCGAAGAGACAGGACTACTCTATCTACATAGAACAACTGCACAAAAAGAACTAACGGTGGATAAGAATTTGATCGAGAAAATATAACAGATTAAAGGATAAAATAAATAATTAAATAGATGCATACAAAATAAAGACATCATATCTGACCGTCAAAAAGAGTAAAGGCCCTGTGTAAGTCTTTTGTTTTCCACCGGAATCCCATGATTTCTTTGTGTCAACCAAGCAACGAATCATATACGAGCACCAATTCATGTTGCTGACCTTCGATAAATCATCAAGCGCGTGTACTAATTGAAAGTTTGCCATGCCATTTAGGCGACTCTGAAACAAGCAAGTCACCATGAGGACGATGAAGTGTCGATTGAACCAATCATCACCTTCAGCACACGCATTCATTTTATCCAAAACCTTCAATGCCGTAATGTTCGACGTTGTTCGCACATCAAAAAGTCGGATCCAATCATCCAGCAGTGTAGATGTTTCTCTCTTATTTTTGTTTGTAAGTTCAATCGCTCCACTTGGTAGACCAAATACAGCATGAACGTCGTCTTCCTTAACATGCACCTTGTCGCTGCCGTACAACTTTAGCTTTCTGTCCAGGCGGTGGAAATTGTTCACCAACCAGAATCCCATCTTAGATGGTACTGTAGTTATGCTCAAATCTAACAAATTGCCCAGCCCCATTTCACGAACCGCCTGTTTTTTGGCGTCCGTCAGCCCAGAAACCGCTTTCACAAACATGGCTGCAGAAGACCTTGTATTAATGCTGGGGAACACATCATCGTCGTTGGTACCAATATCGATATCAGCACGATCCACAATATCATGATCAGGTATATAGTCCTTA